ATTTACCTCCTAAGTGTTGTTAGAAAGGACTGAGTTAGATAACATGTGTCAGCTTTCCAGCAGAGGGTTTCAGCTAACATCGTTTGGAGTGGTGGCAGAAGAAAAATGATACTGTTTCTGTGAAAATGTCCCTCCATGGTTATAATCCTGAAAGCTATGACCCATGGACACAAGTGACTGTATTGCTGGTGGAATGATAATTCAAGATTCTCGAAAATTCTTAACTGAACCTTTAACAGTTAAAAGAGATACAAATATTATGTGTATTGAGTAGTAGATAAAATCTATCTTCTAAAAACTAAGTAAATAAAAATAGCAAGAATGAAATAACCGAAAAAGGGAAACAGATTAAAAGGAGAGAAAAAACATTGCCCAGAGTTTTCCAGCTTCTGGTTTCCCCATAACCCAAAGTCTGTTGTCTTTGGGATCCTAAAGATATTTGAGTGCCTTCTTAATACATTTGCTAGTCTAAAGCAAATGCCTAGGACATGGTAAGAAATATATACATGCAGACCCACGTATATATCAATCAATACAACTATTACCTTGTTACACAAATTCTTTGTCAAACCATTTACTATATGAAGCAAAAATACATAAAACACAGGTATATAAATATAAAATTAATAATTAAAACACGAAATTTTTTTGTTAAAGACAAAACAAGCAATTGTTTTAGAAAATCAGTCACACTTATAAAAATTAATAAAAATATTTTTCACTGAAAGAGAACAAAGCTATGAAAAAAGAAGATACTCTTAATGAAAGAGCACTAGGGGTAAGAAATAAGAGACAATCTTTCCCATCAGGCCAACTGATTCTAACAATATAGGATTTTCAATGTGAACGTTAGCAGAGTTCATTTAAATTCAGAAGCTATCACATGTCTATTCACAGTCAAGATGGAAAAAATATCTGAGGTCAATCACATATTTCATTTAATAAGCTATTGGAAGGTGGTGCTCTATTTTATTTTATAGTTTATTTGTTATCTTCTCAAATGTCAGATATTATAAACCAACACATACAAAATGGTTGTGGTAAAACATCGCACCTATGAGAGCTCAGAAATGGAACAACATTTGCTTTTTTCATCAGAATCCCTAAAGCTTGTTGATTAACAAATACACTAGCACTTAGAAAGTCTAACAGTGCTTCCTTCATTGATGTCCATCTTTAGAGAAAGAAATAATCCTTTCACCTGGGATTCCAAGAAAGATTAGATGCAAATGCACTCCTTTGTAAAGGAAATCCTTTTATCAAATTGGATTGAGAAGCAAATGTATGCACATCTCTTGCATTTATAACGCTTTCTTTGAAATCTTTGGGTAACCCATTTTATCAATCCCGGAGTATGAAAATCAAAATGTTTTCTTTAGTAGTGACTTTCTAAAAATTATCATTATTATTTTCTGTCATAATAGTTCATCAAAAATTTCCTTCCTGAGGCGATTTCCTTGATTCAGTGAGTTAGGGATAATAAATTGTCATTCCTTCTTCTGACAAGAGGAAATAAGCATCGATTATATAGTTATTCTTTAAACATTGCTCAAACACCTTTATAATCTAAGGTTAAAAACTATCTATATATCTTCAGAATAAATGTCCATTCTGCATTGCCTTACTTGGTTCCAAGAATCAAAGGCTAGAAATCAAAATAGTGGAGCTTCTCAGATAACTCTCAGTGCCCATATACCGCATGAATATTGCACAGCCCTCTGTTTCTCACCAGGGGCATGCAGGTATCCATCACCCACTTGTGATAACTGATCATTTGAATTCTGGTTACAGCATCTAAGGAACTAATTTTTACATTTTTGGCTCAATTTTAATAGACATTATTTAGGACTTTGAATATTTACAGAATTATTTAGGACTTCGTATATTTACAGAAATAATGCAAATATATTACAGAGTTCCCACATACCTCATGGACCAATTTTTTCTATGATTAATATCTTACATTAGTATGGTATATTTGTTACAATTAATTAACTAATATTGGCTTATCATTCCTTATTCTTTATTAAATATACTTGGTTTTACCTAATGTCATTTTTCTGTTCCAGATTCCGTCCAAGATACCTATTACATTTAGTTATCATGTCTCCTTAGGCTACTCTTGATTATGACAGCAGGAACAATAATTTATGTGCAAGTTGACAGGGTCACAAGGTATCCCAATATTTGGCTTAACAATATTATGGGTATGTCTGTGAAGGTGTTTCTGGATAACAAATACAACTGAATTAGTAGACTGAGTAAAGCAGATTGCTCTTCCACATGAGGGTAGACCATATCTAATCTGTTGAAGACCAGAATTAAATAAAAGTCTGAAAAAGAAAAAATTATTTTCCTCTGCTTGATCCTTACATTATTTCAAGAATACATACTATCAGAATGATTCACCACTGCTGATGTTGACCTTGATCAGCCTAGCTGAGGTAGTTTTTGTCACAATTCTGTATTGTAAAGTTACATCATTTTTTCTTTCCATACTGTATTCTGAAAATAAATCACTATATGTATTCTATATTTAAGGCAGTTAAGATATGCTTAGTCTCCTTGAGGACAGAATACTTTTCACAAAATACTCAGGTAAGATTACATTTTCTAATGGTGATGATATGAACAGGAAACAGGGAAATACTGACTAGAAGAGGGTGGTCCTCTAGCAAAGGCCCCACCCTCAAGCCTGGCTACTCATGGTCCTAAGTGAAAACAGCCATTTCTGTTTTCATGCCCAAAAAGTTACCTTTTAGCCCACCACATTCCCTACGCTACTTCCATATAAACCTTGAACTCCAAGCTCCAGAGCAGACCAGCAGATGAACAGACCAGCGATGGCAGAATGACACAGCAGAGAAAGAAAGAAGAGGAGGGACATGTAGACACCAAGAGGAGTTCAGTCAGCTGGGGCGGGCAGACAAGAGTCAGACCATGGGGTAGCCCATCTGCAGAGGAAGACCACCTTCCCACTCCATCCCCTATTTCGCTCCCCATCAACCTCACTGAGAGCCACCTCTACCACTCAAAGAAACCTTGCACTCATCCTTCGAGCCCACATGTGATCCAGTTCTTTCAGAACACTGGTTAAGAACTCAGAATACAGAAGGCTGTCACACTGGCTTGCTGCTTTTAGGTTAAGGCAGAGGGTCCATTGAGCTGATTAACACACAAGCCATCTACAGATGACAAATCTGAAAGAGCTTGGTAACACTGGGTTTGCAGGCACCCACCCCTAGACACTACCTTGAGGCCAAGAGCCCAAAGCACTCACCCCAGCCTCTGCACCTGCCCATCTGCATGCTCCCTCTAGGGATTTGAGCTGTGGGGCCACCACCCCTGTCACACCTCCTGTGAGGGAAATCAGGGGACTGTCCTATTTCAGTGATAAAACATTTAACGTAGTGTGAGTTACCTACATACTATATTTTTTTGCCTTCTATGTTAACATTTCTAAAACAAATACTGCTTATATACTATTTCCTGATACCTTTTAGTAATATCCTTGCATTTTTTCCCACTGCTCTTTGATTTTCAATAATATTGCCAGAAGTGGAAACCCTTTAAAAAGATGTTTTCATTAAGGTCATAATTTAAAAACTTAAAAATGATACCTAATAATTTGAAACATTACCCAACATCCAAAAGCTCTTGGTGATATTTAATTTCTTTGATATTTTAGTTAAAATGGCAGACAATTAAAGCTTCTAAAATTTGGCTATGAAAGTTAAAGACCTTGGTTTAAGTGTCTAGATCTGTTGGATGAAAATTTCTAAGCACTATATCTTTTCTACACATGAAGGATTCTAAGCCTTATTAGTCTGACCACAATTGAATCTTGTCTTTGAAAATGAAATGCAGTACTTTCTCTTTAAGAAAGTTTCATTTGTAAGATTTAGTCATTGCTTTCAGCTTAATAACTGACTTCTGCTTTAGTTTATATAAAAATATACAAATATAAAAAATGAAAACTTTGAAATTATTTTTAAATCCTACAATATAATAGATATAATAATCAACTTTCCCTTCCTCACTGTAAAGCTTCAAATTATAGTAGAAAAATCATTATTTCTGTTCTTCTATTTTCAACACATATTTCTTCCTTATCAATAATTCAAGCTAAGAACTTTAGTCATTGTCAAAGAAGGAATCTCTACAAATAAGTTCTAGCAAACTGAAATGAGCAGAGGGGAACTAAGAAAGATTACAAAGTTTTTAATTTTTTAACAAAAGTTTTTGAGATATCTCCTAATTAGTGGAGAGTCACAGCAAATCTATATTAATTGGCTTGTTAGAGATTGCATGGCAAATCATGATAATTTTAATTTGGAACATGAAGCTATGCTCTTTGTGTCTTGACATAGAAAATATCTTCCAGTTTATAAGCTAAAACAAAGAATATTTGACTTAGTAGAATTTAGGTTGCCAGATGTGATTCATTCCACTGGTGAAAAATGAAACTATATATCTTTTGAGTTCAGACACCAATCAATAAAAAAACAATTCCTATAAATAAATTGTTCCTTGTTATTTCATCTATCTTTCTGCCTGCTTCAGGATGAGACTGTCACAAAAAAATTTTTAGAAGAGCTATTTGATACAGGTCCATCTCTCAGACGCACAAGATGATCTGTCAAAAACCATTTCTGTACCATTGCAGTTTTATGAAAAATGGGAAAATAAATTCTTCAAAACTCAATGGAGAAAAAAAACTTTTGTGTGCTTTAGGTCTTTTGGAAATACATACAAATACCCTGCCACCACTGCTTCTATAATATTTCCTGGTGCCTTTTAGTAACAGCCTTGCATTTTGTTTCACTGTTATGATATTTATTGATATTATATATATATATGTATATATAAAATCTCTGGATTACCAATAACAGTGAATATGATATAAAACTATGAAAATAGTTGTTACACAATATTATTTAGGGAATAATGACAAAGAAATATGTATATGTTCAGTACAGATACTTTCTTTCTCAATATAGGATTCACAGTTGTTTTAATCCACAAATACCAAAGACATGGATATGGACAGCCAACTATGGGTGAGTGTGTGTGTATGTGTGCCTGTGTAGAGAGAGAGAGAGAGAGGGGGATGAATGTGGGTGTGTATATTTTAATTTGCCAAATTCGTTATATTTGTACTGCCAAATAAACCTGAGGGATATACTATTTTTGATAAATAAGAAAAAGAACAAATTTCACATTTGTTATATGTTTGCTATTTCTAAGACACTTTTAAAAAATTAATTAATTAATTTTTAAATTGCATTTTAGGTTTTGGGGTACATGTGCAGAACATGCAAGGTAGTTGCATAGGTACACACATGGCAGTGTGCTTTGCTGCCTTCCTCCCCTTCACCCACATTTGGCATTTATCCCCAGGCTATCCCTCCCCAACTCCCCCTGCCCCACTGTCTCTACCCTATTCCCCCCAATAGACCCCATTGTGTAGTACTCCCTTCCCTGTGTCCATGTGTTCTCATTTTTCCTCACCTGCCTCTGAGTGAGAAGATGCAGTATTTCATTTTCTGTTCTTGTGTCAGTTTGCTGAGAATGATGTTCTCCAGATTCATCCATGTCCCTAAAAAAGGACACGAACTCATCATTTTTGATTGCTGCATAATATTCCATCGTGTATATGTGCCACATTTTCCCTGTCCAGTCTATCATCGATGGGCATTTGGGTTGGTTCCAGCTCTTTGCTATTGTAAACAGTGCTGCAATGAACATTCGTGTGCATGTGTCCTTATAGTAGAATGATTAATACTCCTTTGGATATATACCCAGTAATGGGATTGCTGGGTCAAATGGAATTTCTATTTCTAAGGCCTTGAGGAAACGCCACACTGTTTTCCACAATGGTTGAACTAATTTACACTCCCACCAGCAGTGTAAAAGTATTCTTATTTCTCCACATCCTCTCCAGCATTTGTTGTCTCCAGATATTTTAATGATCGCCATTCTAACTGGCGTGAGATGGTATCTCAATGTGGTTTTGATTTGCATCTCTCTAATGACCAGTGATGATAAGCATTTTTTCATATGTTTGTTGGCCTCATGTATGTCTTCTTTTGTAAAGTGTCTGTTCATATCCTTTGCCCATTTTCGAATGGGCTTGTTTGTTTTTTTCCTGTAAATCTGGTTTAGTTCTTTGTAAATTCTGGATATCAGCCCTTTGTGAGATGGGTAAACTGCAAACATTTTTTCCCATTCTGTTGGTTGCGGATTCACTCTAATGATTGTTTCTTTTGCCGTGCAGAAGCTGTGGAGTTTGATTAGGTCCCATTTGTCTATTTTGGTTTTTGTTGCCAATGCTTTTGGTGTTTTGGTCATGAAGTCCTTGCCTACTCCTATGTCCTGAATGGTTTTGCCTAGATTTTCTTCTAGGATTTTTATGGTGCCAGGCCTTATGTTTAAATCTTTAATCCATCTGGCGTTAATTTTAGTGTAAGGTGTCAGGAAGGGGTCCAGTTTCTGCTTTCTGCACATGGCTAGCCAGTTTCCCCAACACCATTTATTAAACAGAAATCCTTTCCCCATTGCTTGTTTTTTTTAGGTTTATCAAAGATTGTATGGTTGTAGATACATTGTGTTGCTGCTGATGCCTCTGTTCAGGTCCATGGGTCTATATCTCTGTTTTGGTACCACTACCATGCTGTTTTGATTACTGTAGCCTTGTAGTATAGTTTGAAGTCTAGTAGTGTGATGCCTCCCGCTGAGTTCTTTTTGCTTAGAATTGACTTGGCTATGCAGGCTCTCCTTTGGTTCCATATGAAGTTCATGATGGTTTTTTCCAGTTCTGTGAAGAAAGTCAATGGTAGCTTGATGGGGATAGTGTTGATTCTGTAAATTACTTTGGGCATTATAGCCATTTTCATGATACTGATTCTTCCTAACCATGAACATGGAATGTTTCTCCATCTGTTTGTGTCCTCTCTGATTTCGTTGAGCAGTGGTTTGTAGTTCTCCTTGAAGAGGTCCCTTACGTTCCTTGTGAGTTGTATTCCAAGGTATTTTATTCTTTTTGTAGCAATTGTGAATGCCAGTTTGTTCTTGATTTGGCTTTCTTTAAGTCTGTTTTTGGTTTAGACGAATGCTTGTGATATTTGCACATTGATTTTATATCCTGAGACTTTGCTGAAGTTGCTTATCAGTTTCAGCTTTTGGGATGAGGCGATGGGGTCTTCTAGGTATATTATCATGTCGTCTGCAAATAGAGACAATTTGGCTTCCTCCTTTCCTATTTGAATACACTTTATTTCTTTTTCTTGCCTGAATGCTCTGGCTAGAACTTCCAGTACTCTATTGAATAGGAGTGGTGAGAGAGGGCATCGTTGTCTAGTGCGGGATTTCAAAGGGAATGCTTCCAGTTTTTGCCCATTCAGTATGATATTGGCTGTGGGTTTGTCATATATAGCTTATATTACTTTGAGATATGTTCCATCAATACCGAGTTTATTGAGGGTTTTTAGCATAAAGGTCTGTTGAATTTTCTCAAATGCCTTCTCTGCATCAATTGAGATAATCATATGGTTTTTGTTTTTGGTTCTGTTTATGTGGTGAATTACATTTATAGACTTGCATATCTTGAACCAGCCTTGCATCCCCGGGATGAATCCTACTTGATCATGATGGATAAGTTTTTTGATGTGCTGTTGCAATCAGTTTGCCATAATTTTATTGAAGATTTTTGCATCTATGTTCATCATGAATATTGGCCTGAAGTTTTCTTTTCTTGTTGAGTCTCTGCCGGATGTTGGTATTAGGATGATGTCGGTCTCATAAAATGATTTGGGAAGGATTCCCTCTTTTTGGATTATATGGAATAGTTTCAGAAGGAATGGTACCAGCTCCTCTTTGTGTGTCTGGTAGAATTTGGCTGTGAACCCATCTGGACCTGGGCTCTTTTGGTGTGGTAGGCTCTTAATTGCTGCCTCAACTTCAGACCTTGTTATTGGTCTATTCATAGTTTTGGCTTCCTCCTGGTTTAGTCTTGGGTGGACACAGGTGTCCAGGAATTTATCCATTTCTTCCAGGTTTACTAGTTTATGTGCATAGAGTTGTTTGTAATATTCTCCGATGATGGTTTGAATTTCTGTGGAATCTGTGGTGATTTCCCCTTTATCTTTTTTTATTGTATCTATTTGGTTGTTCTCTCTTTTCTTTTTTATCAGTCTGGCTAGTGGTCTATTTGGTTGATCTTTTAAAAAAAACCAGCTCTTGGATTTATTGATTTTTTGAAGGGTTTTTCATGTCTCTATCTCCTTCAGTTCTGCTCTGATCTTAGTTATTTCTTGTCTTCTGCTGGGTTTTGAGTTTTTTGATCTTGCTCCTCTAGCTCTTTCAATTTTGACAATAAGGTGTCAATTTTGGATCTCTCCACTCTTCTCATTTGGGCACTTATTGCTATATATTTTCCTCTAGAGACTGCTTTAAATGTGTCCCAGAGATTCTGGTATGTTGTGTCTTCATTCTCGTTGGTTTTGAAGAACTTCTTTATTTCTGCCTTCATTTCATTGTTTATCCAATCAACATTCAAGAGCCACTTGTTCAGTTTCCATGAAGTTGTGCAGTTCTGAGTTAGTTTCTGAATTCTGAGTTCTAACTTGATTGCACTATGGTCTGAGAGGCTGTTTGTTATGATTTCTGTTGTTTTGCATTTGCTGAGGAGTGCTTTACTTCCAATTATGTGGTCCATTTTAGAGTAGGTGTGTTGTGGTGCTGAGAAGAATTTATATTCTGTGATTTGGGGTGGAGAGTTCTGTAAATGTCTATCAGGTTTGCTTGTGCCAGGTCTGAGTTCAAGCCCTGGATATTGTTAATTTTCTGTCTGGTTGATCTGTCTAATATTGACAGTGGAGTGTTAAAGTCTCCCACTATTATTGTGTGGGAGTCTAAGTCTCTTTGCCTTATATAACTGGGTGCTCCTGTATTGGGTCCATATATATTTAGGATCGTTACCTCTTCTTGTTGTATCAATCCTTTTACCATTATGTAATGACCTTCTTTGTCTCTTTTGATCTTTGTTGCTTTAAAGTCTATTTTATCAGAGACGAGTATTGCAACTCCTGCTTTTTTTTTTTTTTTTTTTTTTTTTTTTTTTGCACTCCACTTGCTTGGTAAATCTTCCTCCATCCCTTTATTTTGAGCCTTTGTGTATCCTTGCATGTGAGATGGGATTCCTGGATACAGCACACTGATGAGTTTTGGGTTTTTATTCAATTTGCCAGTTCGTGTCTTTTGATTGGTGCATTTTGTCCATTTACATTTAGAGTTAATATTGTTATGTGTGAATTTGATACTGCCATTTTGATGCTAGCTGACTGTTTTGCCCATTCGTTTATACAGATTCTTCATTTTGTTGATGCTCTTTAGCATTTGGATGTTTTTGGAATGGGTGGTACTGGTTGTTCCTTTCTGTGTGTAGTGCCTCTTTCAGGAGCTCTTGTAGAGCAGTCCTGGTGGTGACAAAAATCTCTGAGTACTTCCTTGTTTGCAAAGGATTTTATTTTTCCTTCACTTATGAAGCTCAGTTTGGCTGGATATGAAATTCTGGGTTGAAAGTTCTTTTCTTTAAGGATGTTGAATGTTGGCCCCCACTCTCTTCTGGCTTGTAGGGTTTCTGCCGAGAGATCTGCTGTGAGTCTGATGGGCTTCCCTTTGTGGGTGACCCGACCTGTCTCTCTGCCTGCCCTTAGTATTTTCTCCTTCATTTTAACCCTGGTGAATCTGACGATTATGTGCCTTGGGGTTGCTCTTCTTGCAGAGTATCTTTGTGGTGTTCTCTGTATTTCCTGGACTTGCTAGGTTGGGGAAATTTTTCTGGATAATATTCTGAAGAGTATTTTCCAGCTTGGATTCGTTCTCTTCGTCACATTATGGTACACCTATCAAACATAGGTTAGGTCTCTTCACATAGTCCCACATTTCTTGGAGACTTTGTTCATTCCTTCTTGTGCTTTTTTCCTCTAATCTTGGTTTCTTGTTTTATTTTATTGAGTTGATCTTCGACTTCTGATATTCTTTCTTCTGCTTGGTCAGTTCGGCTGTTGAAACTTGCGCATGTTTCACGAAGTTCTCATGATGTGTGTTTCAGCTCCTTCTATTCATTAATATTCCTCTCTTAGTGTCCATTCTTGTTATCATTTCCTCGAATCTTTTTTCAAATCTTTTTTTCAAGGTTCTTAGTTTGTTTGCATTGATTTAGAACATGTTTTTTTAGCTCACGGAAGTTTCTCATTATCCACCTTCTGAAGTCTGATTCCATCATTTTGTCACACTCGTTCTCCGTCCAGCTTTGTTCCCTTGATGGTTAGGAGTTTTGCTCCTTTGTAGGAAGTCAGGTGTTTTGGTTTCGGGTGTTTTCCTCCTTTTTGCACCGGTTTCTTTCCATCTTTGTGGATTTATCCACCTGTCATCTGAGTAGTTGCTGACTTTTCGATTGGGTGTCTGGGTGGATGCCCAGATTGTTGATGATGAAGTATTTCTGTTACTTAGTTTTCCTTCTAACAGTCTAGCCCCTCTGCTGTATGACTGTTGAGGTCCACTCCAGACCCTGCTTGTCTGGGGTACACCTGTAGCAGCTGCGGAACACTGAGGCATGCTACCAGTTTCTTCTTCTGCTATCTTTGTCCCAGAATGATGCCCGCCAAATGTCAGTCTGATCATTCCTTTTTGAGGTGACTCTTTGGATATACAGGGGTTAGATAGCTGCTTGAGGAGGTGGTCTGTACTTTACAGGAGCTCAAGTGCTGAGCTGTGAGCTTTGTTGTTCATTCAGGGCTGTTAGGCAGGTATGTTTAAGTTTGCTGCAGCAGAACTTATAAAACCCCTTTTTTTCCTCAGATGCTGTTTCTCAGGGAGTTAGGGCTTTCTTTATGCTTATTCATTGCACTGTCCTGCCCAGCTCGGAGGCAATCTAGTCACGATTTGCCGGCCGAGGCTCTTCCCTGTTACAGTGAGGTCTGTCCTGTTGCCGTGGGCTCTGCCTTGCTGCTGTGGGCTCTGCCCTGCTGCCATGGGCTCCGCCCTGCCATCGTGGGCTCTGCCCTGTTGGCAGAGTCTCTCTGTTATGGTGGGTTGTCTCAGCATCAGCAGGTTGTGTCAGCAATGGGAGTGTACCTCAGTAGGGGCGGAATGCCTCGGTAATGCTGGACGCCCCTCTCCCCCAAGCTGCACCATTCTGGATTCAGCTGTGCCCACAGTGAAACTCTCAACCCTGAGCATTTCAAATCGCCATTTTGTTTGTCCCTGTGGGGGTGGGACCCGCCGAGCCTGATCACCTGACTATCTGCCTTAGAGCTCTTTTTATTTTCTTTTTTCTTTTTTTTTTTTAAGTTGAACGGTTGACTCTCTCCCAGGTGTTTCAGTCACCTGCTGATAAGGCACCAGGATCTGTGTGATTTCCCGTGCAGCAACCCACTGCGCCAGCTCAAATGTTGCTTCCCGGGAGTATCCTGGTCTGGCTCACTGTCCAAGTCCAGTTTAATCAGATGGATATGCTAATCTTCCCTCCCAAATCTTAGATTGCTGGTTTAACAGGGCACCCGGACCAGTGCATTTTTGTGCGGAGTGCCGCTGTGCTGCAGCACTGGCTGAAACGGCCGTATCAGCCTAACGGGCTGTGCTGGCCTCCTGTGTCTCTCCTACACCTGGGAATTTCCCCATTCTGTGGGCAACAAAGATCCGTCTGGAAATGCTGCTTGGACTCACCCTCTGTGCCTTCACTGAGAGCTGCAATCCTGAGTTGCTGAGTTGCTACTACCGTGCCATCTTCTTTTCTTCCCCCGATCTAAGATACTCTTATAAGTGTGCTACCTTTTAAAATCAAATTCTCACAACCACCCAATGAGACAGGTTATTATTTCTAATTTAATGTAATTGAAGACATGCAAAGATATACAATAAGCCATGCAAGATCAGTTTATATTGAACTAGAATTTGACCAAGGCAGACTAGCTTCAGATTTGACTCTCTTTACCTTTCTATTGCATTTTTTCACAATATAAAATGAAGTTACACTTGGCCTAAGGCTGCCTTTTTACCTTGACTTCTTACATAGCAAACTATAACCTAACTTAGTATGTAAACAAACTGAAACCAAAGAAGTATAAAAAACACCAGAGTTTTAGTCAATGACAAGAAGCCATGTTTTAGCCAATTACAGGTAGCCAATTCATCACACCAGCCCAAATAAGGAAGATATTAGGCTTTAATCAATCAGATAATTTCTCAACCTCGTTTTGTTGATCTATAAAAGCTCACTCACTATTCACACTGCTGGGGACTGTCCTATGAATGTCCTTTGGTTCAGGGTATTCCCCAATTTGTGCATTGTTCTTTACTCAAATAACCTCCACTAAATTTAATTAATCTACAGTTTATTTTTAACAACAAATAGAAGAAACTAAATGCTTTACTTTGGACAGTTAGTAGCCTTTTTGTCACATCATTGTGAAGCTGTGAAAGACATGCAGTTTTGAGAATTTGACACTGCTGCTACACTAATGCACTATGATGGAGAGGACTTGAATCACCTATGGTTTCTGCCTAGGTTATATTAAGTTAGGGTATTTAAATGTAGAAAATATTTTAATCAGGATAAAATCAGGATAATTTTAGTAGCAACCAGTTTAAGGCATCTGAAACAAACTAGTATTATCTTATAAAGATATTCTGTTTTTCACTGAAGGAAGACAGAAATGAACTAGGGAAGAAGAAGAAATTGGAGACTATTAACTTTAAGATTATTTTTTCAGTCTTTGCGTCTCTCTGAAAATCAATATTGATTATTTTTCTTTCACTCTTTTGTCCCAAAGTTTTCTGTGACCTATGTGGCAGAAACATGACCTTTCAGAGCTCCTGTGTTTGCATGCACGGTGAGACTGACTCAGCTAATCTTTGTCCTAATTCCAGTCTCTCCAAAGAGAGAACATGATTGTCCCAGATTTCACCTAGAGAGCATGTAACTTACCTAATTATCTAGGATAATGGAGAATTCTTGGAGTTAAACTTGCCTCCAAGTGGTGATCCCAATGAATCAGAGACTGCAAACAGATATTAAAGAAATTTGAAAATAAGTGTATTGACAGGTGTACTTGCAGGAGCAGCATGTTATGAATTAGGGAAACAGGACAAATCTTTGTTTTCAATGAACAATATTTTTTCAATAATATTAAATAAAATGTTTAATGATATAACCCCATACAGTAATTACCTTTACTTGAATCTGATCAATTGAATGTCCATAATTAATTGAGACTTTGAGACAGAGACTATTTGTAATCTGATCTGAGAAAGAGATGGTAAAATAGGAAATATGCTGTTTTGCACTATTTTCAACTTAATTAACCCGGTAATTGCATTTTCTGTAGTCCTCTTTTCTATACAACCTTGATTAGAGTTAAACAACAACAACAAACACACACACTTGTGTGGTATCTGGAATGGATGATTGAAGCATAACCATTATTCTCAATTCTTTGTAGTCAAACACAGTGACAAATATCATCTGGTAACCAGACACTATACTGTTATATGTAGGTAGTATTGGATAGCTGTTTTTTTGTTCTACTCCAAATCCAGTTTTTCTTCTGACCTAATGGTCCTGCTGATTATACCAACAGCAGGCTCCCAACGCACAGCAGTAGTAGTTATACAGGTGCAGTACTTTTTACAGGTTTCTACACAAACCCACTTTTGTTATTCTCAGATCAACAAATGAATACTTTTTGCTTTGACAATTGCTTTCTAAGTTTGAATTAGTCTGCCAGTGTTCCACAGGAGGACTGGCTAGTTACTCTCCTTGATCTATTGCATTCCCTGACCAGACTTCCTCATCCCAGGGTCCTCTTACAATTGCACACAGTCTAATTGTTAATTAAATTCCTTACATCATAATATTCTCATTGTGTCTGTTTACCTTTCTTCACTCTGACTACAGTAGAACTTTGACTGAAGTAGTGCCAGGAAAATTTTCATTAAAGATAAGAAATAAAACTTTTCCTCTGATTTGACTAGATTCAAAGTGTAATGACAGTGTCACCAGTTATATATTGGAAAATGGTATCT